AAAACTGTAAAAGACAGAAGAAATGCTTCCCCTACATCACTTGCCATCTCATCAGAAACAGACCTTTTCTAGATAATTTGCCTCTATAAATTAGACCAAAGAGCTTGAATAATACATTCTGAAATTCAGAAATGATCAAAATTAGTAAAACATATCTAATCTGTCTAAAAATGATATGATTTTGGTTTCAGGATTTTATTGTAAAGGTCGTGCAAGGCCAGATTATGAGGCTGTTGCAAACTTGGGTAATCTGTCATGCATATGAGATGAAAGAGAAAAGAGAATAAAGTGAAAAGACAAAATTAAATACATTTTCCATTCTATATAGCCATTTAGCAGTAATGTAACCATTCAGTTAACCACTGGTTAACCAGTTAACCATTCAAAAGTAATCATTCAGATTTCTCTCTCTCCATGAATCACCTCATTAACAGAATTTCCAGACATTCTGGTAACTTAAAATATTTGTGGCTTTATATTAAAAAGTAAGTGTTTTAAGTTAAAAATTACATTAATTAAAATTTGAGGCACTTTACTGAAATTAAGGCATGGGTCACTGTAGAAGTATTAAAATAGTATAGAAGAACAAGTTTTATAAAAATATCATAAAAGGCTGATATATCACACCTGAACATGCTTCTTTTTGGGTGTGCTTTTTAGTGTGTCTGATTCTTTTAACCTCAATCTATTTGGATGGCATGTGATAGGGTGATAATGAGCAGCTTGTTCACAAACACAAACCTTCTCCTGTGATACACTGTGAGTTATGTATTAACATGCTATAATCATGAAAAACCTTTCTAAAATCACAATGGCATACATGATCTTTTCAACACAAAAACATTTGTCGTTATCATTGATGGCACACAGCTTCTTCAGGTTCTTTTCCCTTTCACAGAAGAATTCAATTATAAACAGCACTATACAACTAGTGACTCAGTATAAAATAAATTCTCCCAAATACTCCTAATGTGATCAATCCTTTAAAAACACCAGAAAATGTATACCACCAACTTGCATGACAGTCCCAATGCCTAAGAGGCTTAACACTCATATCTCAGTCATGGCTGCATGGCCAGGAAAATAAACATCATGATGGAGTCCTGCATTCTTCACATTGTGCTCAAGGACAAAGTCAGTGTAGTTTCTATGTGCAGTCTGGGGTGGGGGCAAGGCCCTTGTGTTCCACTGGTTTCCACCACGTTGACAGCAGTCACTGGCAGCAGAGAGCCTGGATGGTTGGGGGTGGGAGGGGAGCACAGTTAGTCAAAAGGAGTAAATGGATGTAAAAGAGGTAACAAAGAAGAAAGGTAATGTGACCAGCATGCACCACTGCTACGAGTAGTTACCAACATCTACTCCATGCAATGATAACAGTCAAGAGTAACAGAGAGAGGAAAATCTACAAAGTTACATGAAAGGAAAATGTCAATATGGAAATACATGTAAATAACCAGAATCAGTTAAGTGAATTGATTAAAGAGGAAATTTCACAAACAGCAAGACACAATGTATCTGTCCCTGATGTTGCTACTAAAATCAAAGGCAGAAATGTTGTTTGGGGTTCTAAGGAGAAGAAAAAAAATATTAATAATATGCTAATTCGAATATTTGAAAGGAGACATCTACATAAGGACAAATGCATATGTGATAAAGGACAATTATAAAAACTGTATTCCAATTTTAGTGACTTCACAAAACTGAAATTTAGGAAACAAAACTCAGGAAGAGCATGAAAAAAATATTTTACCCTCAAAGGCCATGTAATTTTACATCAATGTTCCCAATTAAAAATTGGGAAGGAGCAGAGAACCACTGCTCCTTCTATAATCATAGTTCACAGGACCTCAAAATGAAATTCAACAGGTACAGATAATGTGAAGATTTTATAAGCTCCCTCTAAGAAATAATTTAATAAGCATGTTAGATTCCTTTTTTTTTACAGTGCTATAGAACAGGCCTCTAGAACATGCAATTCCTGGTTAGAACTGATCAGAGTCCTCCAGTAGAAAGAAAACATTTGCCAAGGTTCAACAAATCAAAGTTTTGTGGTTCGGCTAAAAGGGCAACACATATTTAAAATAACTACAAAGGAAAAATCACCCCAAATATAAAATATGTCTAAAAACAGATTTTTAAATATAGTGCTATCTTTCTAACTCAACCAAAACATTAATCTTCACCTTTTTATCCTTGGGAAGCTGAAAAAGAAACTAAAATAATTTTCAGAACAAACTTGGAAAGCTTTAAAAAATTTTTTTTAGAGCAAACAATAAAATCATCTTCTTTCCTTCAACTGAAATACAACTTGTTCATCAGACCTAACCAACAAAATTCACAACTTTGAATTTAGGGTCTCTAAAAACTTAGAAAGTTAAATTAGGTTTATGTTATCTCCTATAGATCCAAGACTTTCTAAATACTATTGTTTTTATTGTTGTTTATGAATGATTTATGGACTTAAAACATGAATTGTTTCTTAAAAGGTAATACTTTATGTATTTGATAATTCTAAGATACTGATATACCAAATCATTCCCCCACATAATGGTGTCATTTAAAAAATAGCAGCAAGAGAAAGGTGAAGACTTGAATAGGGAGTAGGTTTGAATTAAATTGGTTAAAAGTTATCTGCCAGAAATAGAATGGTCTATTATTCTGACCAATTGTTCAAACTTAGGGAGCATTTCCAAATTTTATTAACTTATCACTTTCTAAAGGAGGACCATTTTATATTCTTTTAAAAATATTAACAAGAATCAAAGCATGCAGAAACAAAGAATGAAATGCAGGATGCATTTTAAATTAAGGCTGAAGAATACATTAGCTCCAAGACCTGTCAGCTCTATAGTCAGTTCCATGCCCTTGTTGACATACTCTGAGTGAGGCTCATTAGGTTCTAAGAATCACTGCTTTACTTCATTTCAATAAAGGAGATCTCAGCACAACCACATAATGGAAGGAGGACACACATCTCCAAATTTTTCATTTTTCTTCAAATTCAACCAAATTCAATACTCTTTCTAAAAGCTGCAAAGGAACTGAGTAGTGCCTAACAAACCAAATTTAATATATTTAAATATGTACCCATTAAAATGGAGAAACTCAAAGATTTAGTGTCATATACGAGATGCAAACTAATCAGACTCTCATTCCATATTAATATAAAAGGCAAGCAGAGATTAAGATAGTTCTTTTATAGATGAAGTCTCAGTACGATTTTTCCTTGCCAATAAGACTTAGTGGTAACATCAAGGACATAAAACATAACTGGAGTTGTGTTTTCAGTAAGAAATTGAAGGAACTTTTTTTAATAGCTTAAAAAAAATAAAGACTAAAACTTGACATTTAGAAGCCTCACTCTTTATACTTTTAAGTGTGTGGCTACATGCACTCACACACACAAAGTATACCCACCACATTCCCAAGTAGAAAAAAAAAAAAAAGAAAAGAAAAGAAAATGGAGAAGGGATCCCCTTAAACTTTTAAACTAATCACAAGTTATTTGGAACTGAAGCAAAAATTTGCCCGACCATCCACAGCAAAGCACATTGCAGTTAGTTAAGCCGAAATAACAGTGGGGGAAAAAAACAACAACTATACAGCGAAGACTGAAAAAAAATCACCAACCACTGTTGACCCACCACCATGAAGAAAGAACTGGTTGCACAGAAAGCTGACCAAAACCTTGACATCACCACAGAAACTCATTAGATTTCAGGTACTAAACAAGCTAAGAGCAAGAGAAAAAGAGAAAAATCCTATGAATTATCAATGTTCATTTCATAAGTACACACAAAACTTGAACAGATGATATACCCAACATGACCATTCAATCAAATAATTTCCAAGGAGCCCCTCCAAGCCACAAACATTTATTTGGGAAAGGATGAACCCAACTGATTAATCCCAATAAGCCACAAAGTATCCATATTTGTGTATTTACTTTTTTTTTTTGGGGGGGGGTGTAGTTGGCTGGTACAGGTATCCAAACCCATGACTTTGTATTATCAGCATTTATCTGTGTATTTACTATTAACTGAGAAAAAGACCCTGGAAATCAAAATAAATGAAATATCTTTCCAGCCATAAGAGTCATCAGATTATCTCTCAATCTCCAAAGAAAAGAATATTTCATGCTTTTTTTTTTATTAGACTTCAATAATAATAATGTTTCCCTTTTGGCTTTATCTTCAGTCTTTTTTTTTTTTTCCTTTTTGTCTTTTTTTTACTGACTGGTAACGGGATCGCAACCCTCGGTGTTGCGCCCACACCGCGCTCAGCCAGTGAGCGGGAACCGGTCTCCACATGGGATCCGAACCCTCGGCAGGAGGACCACCACGCTCCCAAGCGGCGCACTCTCCGTGCGCCACCGGGCCGGCACTATCTTCAGTCTTTAATGAAGAAAATATATCCAAAACACTAACATCATGCTGTATGGAATACATGTAACAGACATATTTTCCTTATGGGTCTGAGAAGAAGTTCTACTGACTAGCAGGGAAGTTTTTGTTTTTTCTATAGAGAACCACCGACTACTCCCACGTCATGCTAATCAAAATAAGGACAGCTGTCCGATCTTCTTCATTTAGACCAATTGCACTCCCTTCTTCATCCACATCCCTTATTTTCCCCATCCCAATCCAAATGCTCAATAATATGCTTCTTTTGAGCTCACAAATATGAATAATTTGCTTTCAATCATATTTAAAGCACTCTAAGATTTTATCTTGGAATTCAGAATACAATTAAGCAAGCAATATTTTATTTTAAGGAGTTAACAAACCATTTCCTGTCATGCTGGTCTGTTCCAGGACTCCGTGGAAGATTCTCTATCTCCACCAGCACAGGACCAGAGGAAATGGAAGGAATCACAGGAAGAGTAGATCTCACACCCCAAGCCTTTGAACAAAAATTATAAAAATCACCAATTTTGCCTAGATAAAAGATCTCTTCACCAGCAAACAAAATACTAAAATGGAATATTATCTACATAGTGAACAAATATAAACAAAAGCTTGAATTTCATAAACCACCTTTGAGATAGATAAAAATCTAATTGAATATTTCATTCATTTCCCTGGATTTACAGGGACAGAAATGTTTTCTAGAGTACCTGTTCTGTTTACAGAATAACAGGGAATTAGACATTACTGAGCCTCTTAGGTCATAAGGAAAAGAAAATGAGCAAAACTTCAGCAAGGTTACACCACTGTGAAAATCTACAGTGTTCTAGTGTTTTAGAAGTTTAATACCGACTTACCTGCTGGGAGCCATTACTCTGTGTTGAAACATTACTGTGAACACTGTAGTGGAGGAAAAAAATACATTAAAATCTCTATGTACAGTTGTAGGGCTTCACTTTGTAAGATAATACATATACCAATGAAAGCAACTTTGTTTTAAAAACATCGATGTTTTGTTTCAAATAAAGAAAAAATCTACTGTTGATACCTAAAATTAAGAATGTCAGAAGCCCAGAAAACGTTTGCTCTTATAGGCAAATACCTGCTTTTCTATAGTCTGCTCATTTGATGTTTCCATATACCTATATTTCAACTGTGCCCTAGACATATTCTTCTCTACTAATCTTGTTTATTCATTGGACAATATCTGTTGAAGATGGCAAAACAAAGATAACAGCATAAATGACTCCTTAAATTCAAGACATCTAGCACAAATACCCACATAAGCTTACCTGTCTTTTTTTTTTTTCTGATATTATCAGCCTCTCAATATTTTCCAGTGTCAGCAATAGCTCAGCATTTTTTTTTTTTTTTTTTTTTTTGTCTTTTGTCTTTTTCCGTGTCCGGCAACGGATCGCAACCCTCAGTGTTGCCCCCGTACCGGACCAGGGACCGGCAACGGGATTGCACCCCTCGGCATTGCTCCCGTGCCTCGCTCAGCCAGTGAGCGGGAACCGGTCCGTATGTGGGATCCGAACCCTTGGGCGGGAGCGCCGCCACGCTTCCCAAGCGGGGCACTATCCAGTGCGCCACTGGGCCGGCCCAATAGCTCAGCATTTTAAAACTCAAGGCCTTAGTATATTTGAAATTTCTGCGCATACCATCCCCTCCAAATGATTTATAAATATGTCTTCATTTAGGCTGTACCCACTGCCCTCCCACTCCACCCCAAAAAGCACTTAAAACAAACAAATGAAAAAAACCTATAATAAAACTACAGAGTAGGAAAAAAAAAAAAAAAAAAAGATGAGATATTACCACAACAAAATGAGAAAAATAAAAGTTTGCTAACTTCATTCGAACGTAAGACTAATTGGCATCCCTGTAGTTAAGAATTCAACTCACGTAAAAGAAAATGTATTCAAAGTGATAAGAAGAAAATTCCTTAAAAGTCAGAAAATAATCTACAGATTTAATGGCAGCACTGTGTTCCAGGAAAATGAGATACAGATTTAAACACATTCAATCTCTTATGGTTAAGTTACTGATCTTTAAAAACAAGGGAAAAATACTTCAGGTACCTCAAAGAAATTTAAAAGCAAATCACTGCCAGTATCAGGTTGACACAGACTTCCCGATAGCAATATTCCAACCAAGATGTCATCCTTGTAAAAGGAAACAGACAAAAAGCCTTTCTAAGGGAGGGTGACAGCAAAACAAAAACTACCAGATGGTAAAAGCCAACCAGATAAACAAGTAAAGGATCAAAAAAAGAACTCAAGAATTAAGAAGCGTTTCTAAAAGACTGGGTGATGAGGAGTGAACCCATTTTATATCCTATTTTTTATGAACTACATCTCAGTTACAAGTTAAACCAGAACTTGCACTACCACTGTCTGGGTTCAAACCCAAGCTTGTGCTACTAGCTCTGCTCTCTGCACCTCAGGTTCTTCCTTTGCATGAGACTGTTAGGAGGATTAAATGAATTAATATTAGCAAAGTACAAAGAACAGTGATAAATAAAATCAATAAAAAAACTTAAAAAAAAAAATACTGTTTAGTATAGATAAATTGCCAAGGCAATTGCAAAGAATGTACTTGTCAAGCACGATTTCCTTTTACTAACCATACTATTCTTTCCAGAATACATTATATTGGTTTAAGTAACCCGCAATCCTAAACATTAGTGAAATCTCATCCAGCCTGCTTGGTACAAAAGTTAGGCTCACTGGTCTATGGTCCCATGGTTACTCTCTGAAGCTCTTCTTTTAACTAAGAATAACTTTAGTAGGTGATGAATACAATATGAATAACATGAGAAAAAGTACTTAAATAAGTGATATTGACTGATAACTTACTATTTTCAATAATTTGAAATATACAGCAAAGACTGAAAATGATCACCAATCACTGTTGACCCACCACCATGAAGAAAGAACTGCTTACACAGAAAGCTGACCAAAACGTTGACATCGCCACAGAAACTCATTAGATTTCAGGTACTAAACAAACTAGAAAGCACTATTTTATCGTGATTATACATATTGTTTCACCTCCACAAATATGAATTACTGAAAGAATTACTTCTCATTACTGACCTAGTCCAAGTTTCCCCCTTTAAGAGACTAAATGCAATAACTGATCCCCCTTTTGCTTTTCTTCTATTCCTCTCTTTCCTGTCTTCAAGACTGCCCATTGAGCCTGTATAAAATATACTAGTACTGAAATGACAACTATTCTTTAAAATGTCACCTCTTCTTAAGATATTTTATATTAATCAAGACTTACAAGGAAGTAGTTAGCAGACAAAATAGTACAAAGAAAATGACTGACATCAGTCATTTAAAAACCTCTTACTCAAATAGGCATTTTACAAAACTGCAAAGTACGAAGTCAAGAGTCTTCTTAGGTCAAATAGTTGTGCCTTTTCAAACGGTTCACTGGAACAAAACCGTTCATGCAAACAGAACTGCAAGGGCAAGAGTGAAAGGGTACACATGCTGGTCCAAGCTCAGGTTCTCTCATGCACTGTTATGAGGGGCACTCAATAACCTTCAGGAGAGTTGGGTCCTGCTCTGCATTGCATTTCTAAAAGCCTATTCTTCAACAACAAGAAAGTATCATTTCTTAAGTATCCCATTTCTGCTGTTTTCCAGACCCAGAAGCATTACTAATGAAGACACAATAAAATTTAGCCATTAAAGTTAAATTATCTTAATTCTTTTTTTTTTTCCTTTTTGTCTTTTTTCATGTCCGGCAACGGATCGCAACCCTCAGTGTCGCGCCCATACCGGACCGGGACCAGCAACGGGATCGCAACCCTCGGTGTTGCTCCCGCACCTCGCTCAGCCAGTGAGCAGGAACCGGTCTGTATGTGGGATCCGAACCCTTGGTGGGAGCGCCACTGCGCTCCCAAGCAGCACACTGTAGCAGTACGCCACCGGGCCGGCCCCTAAATTATCTTAATTCTAAGGAAAAAAACTATATATTCATACTTACTTTTTGTTCAGAAATGTGTATTTCAGAATATCTTAAAGGAGAACCTTTTATAGAAGCTGTATTTTTCAACTACACATCACTGCCTGAATACTTAGTTTACATTTTTGCTTACTTCACCAGGTACTCATTCCTGATTTTAAGCTCTAGTATTCTGTCCCAGTCTCCCTTTCAGGAAAGCAAGACATGATCCATTAAATAAACATAATAGCTTAAAAAACACAGAACACCTCTAATATTTCTCCAAAATTTTTCTTATGAATAACTCCAAGGAAAATAAAGCTGTACAGCCCAGAAAAGGTACATAATTTTGTTTTTCACCTAATGAAAATTTCATGATGGAGAGAATCCCTCATTTTCTCCCTGCTCTGTTCATTTGCTCTACTGATAGCTATAGAAACTTATGGAAAGTCCTTGTTCAAAAAGCAGATGCTTTTGCAGTGAATCACTAATCACATCCTGGCTTTAATAGCTTTCTAAGTGAAAAAAACTGAATAGGACATCTCAAGGTGAGGCTCACCATACTCAGTACCTAAAAACAACTCCTTTTTTTTTTTCCCTTTATGCAATAGTTCTGTCACTTGAGACCAACTTCTTTTGAAAAAGCTCTAGTCATACATCTGCCATATAGGAGTACACACAAATTTTTTAAAAAACTAGATTTGTGGGTATGATCTAAATCTGATTCTTTAACCGGTATTCCAGAAGACTCTAATATATGCCAATTGCTGTGAAGCATTACATGTGACTATACATTGTATACACTATTAAAATTAATGGAGTCATCAGAAGCAAGACTTTCAATATGGGCACTTGAACACAAAAGCAGACCTTCTCCCCAGCAAAAGAAACACTTATTTGGTGAAAATTATTGTTAAAAAATCATTAAAAGTCTCTGAAATTATCACAGAGGCATACATCAAGTACAGAAACATTTATTCAAAAACTTTTACTAAATTTTAGTAAGAGCTGAGTCTGTGGTATCTGAGCCATAATCTGCTCCCCTGTTCTTCTCTGCCCAAACTTAATGTGGTGGTGGCAGCTCTACTGTTTGGTGAAGCCAAGAAAATGGACCTAATACTCCTCCAGCTCTCTAGACTTTAAATCAGCAATTTTGATTCTTTTTTTTTTTTTTTCTTGGTGGCGGGCTGGCAAGGGGTTCCAAACCCATGACCTTGGTGTTAAAAGACTGCACTCTAACCACTGAGCTAACTGGCCAGGCTAAATCAGATATTTTAAACATGTTCAAGAACTAAGGAAACCATAGCTAAAGAAATAAAGGAAAGTATGCAAACAATGTCTCACCAAATAGAGAGCATCAGTACACAAACAGAAATTATAAAAAAGAATCAAGTAGAAATTCTGGAGTTGAAAATATAGTAACTGAAACGAAAAATTCTCTACGGGTTCCACAGCAGATCTGAGCAGGAAAAAGAATCAGTAAACTTGAAAATAGATCAAGTGAGATTATTTAGTCTGAGAAAAATTAGGGGGGAGGAAGGGAGAGAGAGGGAGGGAGGGAGGGAGGGAGGGAGGGAGGGAGGGAGGGAGGAAAATGAACAGAGACTCGGAGGCCTGTGGGACACCATCAAGTGTAATAACATGTAATGGGAGTTGCACAAGGAGAGAACAAAAGAAAGGGGCATAGAGTATTTGAAGAAACTTCCCAAATTTGATTTTTAAAAAAGTTATAACATGCAAAAACAACCATAAGAAAATTGGGCTAGCAATACTTATATCACACAAAACAGACTTTAAAACAAAAAAAAGGTACTAGAGATAAAGAAGAACATTTTATCACGATAAATGGATAATACAACAATTACAGGGGCTGGCCAGTTAGCTCAGCTGGTTAGAGCACAGCCTTGTAACAGCAAGGTCACAGGTTCAAATCCTAAAACCGGCCAGACATACACACAAAACAAAACAATTATAAACATATTTTTACATAAAAATCCCCAACATACATGAAACAAAAACTTGAAGAACTGAAGGAAGAAACAGAAAACTGAATAACAATACTTGTAGACTCCAATAGCCTACTGTTAATAATAGATAAAACTAGGAAAAAGATGAATAGTGAAATAGAAGACTTGAACTAACTAGACCTAACAGAACATCTATAGAACACTCCACTCAAAAACAGCAGAATACATTTTTTTCAAGTACACACAGACCATTTTCCAGGATGAATCACATGGTAGGCCACAAAACAATTCTCAATAAATTTAAAGGAATCAAAGTCATACAAAGTATGTTCTACAACTATCATGGAACAGAATTAGAAGAACACAGAAGAAAGAATAAAATATTCAGCAACACGCTCCTAAGTAACCAACAGGTCAAAGAACAAATCACAAGAGAAATCAGAAAATAATTTGGGATGAACAAAAAATAAAAACACAACATACCAAAACCTTTTGAATGTAACTAAAGCAGTGCTTGAAAGGAAATTTACAGCTGTAAATACAATGTTAAAATAGAATAAAGATCTAAGACCAGCAGTTAGATCAGTTGGTTAGAGAGTGGTATTATAACACCAAGGTCAAAGGTTTGGATCCCTGTACCAGCGGGCCACCAAAAAATAAAATAAAGATCTCAAGTAAATAACCTAATCTTCCACCTTAGATACCAGAAAACGAGCAAACCAAACCTAAAGCAAGTAGAAGGAAGGTAATAACATAGATTAGAGCAAAAATTAATAAAATCAAAAAATAGAAAAATCAATGAAAGCAAAAGCTGGTTCTATTTGAAAAGGCCAATAAACTGACAGACATTTAGCTAAACTGAACAAGTGGAAAAAAGAAAAATTCAAATCACTAAAATCAGAAACGAATAAGCGTACATCACTACTAACCTTATAGAAATAAAAAGGAAAGGGGACCAATACAAACTATACACCAACAAATTAGATCACTTACATAAAATGGACAAATTCTAGAAAGACACAAAATCTCAAAGTGATTCAAGATGAAAAAGAAAATCTGAATAGATCTATAACAAGACTGAATTAAAAATTTTAAAACTTCATATCGAGAAAGTCCAGGCAGATGGCTTTAATGGTAAAACTGACCATACATTTAAAGAAGAATTCATACGATTCTTTACAAATTTTCCCAAAAAACAAAAGAGGAAGGAACATTTACCAACTCATTCTGTGAAGCAAGTATCACTGATAACAAAACCAGACAAAGACATTACCAGAAAACTACAGACCAATATCTCTGATAAATATAGACAAACAAATCCAAAACAAAATACTAGCAAATCAAATCCAGCAATATAAAATAAAAAAGGATAACACACCACGACCAGGTGGGATTTATCCCAGGAATAAAATTGCTTATTTAGGGCCGACCCGGTGGCGCACTGCTACAGTGCGCCGCTTGGGAAGCGTGGTGGCGCTCCCGCCGAGGGTTCGGATCCCACATACAGACCGGTTCCCGCTCACTGGCTGAGCGAGGGGTGGGCGCAGCACCGAGGGTTGCGATCCTGTTGCCGGTCCCGGTCTGGTGCGGGCGCGACACTGAGGGTTGCAGTCCGTTGCCGGACAGAAAAAAAAAAAAAAGACAAAAAAAAAAATTGCTTATTTATAAATCAGCCTTTGTTCTTTGAGCTCCTTGTGTGCAAGAACCATAATTTATTCATCTTTATATCCTGTCACTTGAAAATAACAAATGTCAGTCATTCTCATTATGAATAGCATATCCACCCTCATCCCACTGTTTCTTTAAATTGTGTTATTTTTCTTCATGTCAGTTTTATCAGTTATTACATGTTTATTTGTTCCCTGCTGCATCCCCAATGCCTAGGTTCAACTTGATACTTTGACATGTCTTCAAAAAATATTTTTTTGGGCCCACCCCGTGGCTCACTCGGGAGAGTGGCGCAGGGAGCGCAGTGGCGCTCCCGCCGCGGGTTCGGATCCTATATAGGGATGGCCGGTGCGCTCACTGGCTGAGTGCAGTGCGGGCGACACCAAACCAAGGATTCCGATCCCCTTACCGGTCACAAAAAAAAACAACCCCAAAATACATATTTTTTAAAAATTAATGACAGCAACTACATAAATTCAAAAACAATCTATATCAATTCCTAAATTGCAAGACATTACTCACCTGAGTTCCTCAGGTTTTGTTATACTTGCTGACAGAAGAAAAAAGATAACATCTCATTAGTCTCATCTTATATGATAAATTGTTTCACTATTCATCAAAGTAAAACTTTGACTAATTAATTGCTTTATAAGCCATGTTTCCTAACCATAGATTTAAAAACCTTCAGTTCACAAAAGTGTTCTGGGGCTCAGACTATTAAAGGAAATAACAGCAATTATTTGCATTTTTAAATAAAGCAATTAAATAAGCATACATCCCTTCCTTTAAAACAGAACCATCTGCAAACCTCCTATAGTGAAATGACCAATCCTGAATTGCTGTCAGCGGAAAACAAGAGGTAACTTAAAGGTTTTAAACCATCACGAATTGAAACAGTTTCATTTATAGCTATATATCATTTAATTTATAGCCACACCAAAAACTACAAATAGAAATCAAGTGTTTGTTTTTTACAATACTGCCAAATATCACATCATGGCAATTGTTTATGGACAACTGTTGACAACCCTGACATTAAGGATATACTTAAAATTCAATCTGTATTTTAATACAAATTCAGACTTGAAATCAAAGACAAGTTTTGATTTATCTGTCAAAATAAACCATGCTTTTTCTTACATAATTGAAGTATCTTAAACAGTAAGTAACATTTATGAATTTGGAAATGTCTATTTATGATACATATTGATGATTAAATTTAAAAACTACATTTAACAAGAGTCCTTAGTATTATAACACAATATGAAATAATTTTTACCTATATGTACATATTGAAACAACACACTGTACCCCACAAAAATAAATATAAATTAGAAAAAGGAAAAATAATTTTAACTTAAAATTTATTCATCACATGCCAATGGTTTTTTTTTTAAATTCCTAAGGGGTTTAAGAGATGTTTTATTATGAACGAGATCTGTAAGTGAAGAAGGAAGAGAAAATGTTGCTCCACAGAAACACTAAAATAGTCAATACAAAAACTGAACACAATTTCAGAATACCATCTGAATTGGGATTGATGTAAAGTTTAATCTCAGCTAACAATATAGGCAATTTTTCCTTGTGTATCTTATGAAACTGCTTATGCCAGAAGAGTACTTTAGTTGACTGGAATAGACCTAAAGAGATCCAGGTATCTTCCCCTCAAGTAAAAAAATACCAGCACTTGGTTGGTTGTCAAGGAATAATAGTCCTTTGAAACAAGGCTGCACTTCACCTTTCATTTGTAGAGTTCGTCGAGAATATCGTTTGCTGGGCCTTCTTTCAAAGGATGTTGATCTTCTTGCTTTATTGGTTTTTGTGGTCTGATACTCAGTTTTCCCACTAAAATAAATGAGGCATACAGGAATAAGAAGATTTGAGGGCTACAGTAATCAGATACACATTCAGAGAAATTCTGTTAAGGTTCTCCTTAAAAGAATCATCCTGAAAGAACCACTACTACTAGTCTTGATGTCTTTCTTTACCATATCTTTCTTTCACTCTTTAGCCTTTTGTGAAATAAGCAACAGGTTATACCGGTTTTTTTCCTTAAGCATGCATTATCACCTAAGGACATATTAAATAAGTTTATAGTATCCATGCTTTTACAGAACTCCCCTCTACTCCCCATGCACACTCAACGTAAAGTGTGTAATTACAATAAGATTTTCAGTTACTTTTTCTAATTATGATATATTTTTCAGAATAATTTTCCTGAAATATTTTTTTAAATTACAAGTTCATAAAACTAGTTAAGATAGAAAATCAGAAACGAAACTAGGCAGTATGCCTCCAGAATCTACACATGTAACAACTAAGTTATAGAGCCTCTCTAGGGAAAATTATTTTTTAAACACCAAAAGTTATACAAAAAGATGTTCTCTTCAGTGTCATTTGCAATAGTAAAAATGGGCACAAACCCTAACTGTCAAAAAAAGAAATGGCCAAGTAAATAACAGCATATTTAAAAACTATACAGAGATAACCGAGTAAAAGATTAATGAATGAATGAGCTATTGTGGGTTTTTTTGTATTTTTCATCCAAAAAAATTTTTTTAATTGAAACGATTATACATATTTGTGGGGTACAGAGTTTACTATCAGTATTTGTCTACTATGTGATGACGAAATGAGGACAGTCGGCATATTTATCATTACAAAATGTAAAATGTAGTTTTGTTTTATTTGGGTTTTTTTTTTTTGGCCACAAAACAAGTCTTGATACATCTGTGAAGACTAAGATCATAGAAAATATGTTTTCTGACCACTATAGCAGAAGAAAATTTAGAAAACTTATAAATGTGTGGAAATTAAACAACATTCTCCTAATTAAACAATGGGTAAAAAGAAAAATCACAGGGAAATTAGAGAGTACTTTGAGATAAAAACCAAAGCACAACATACAATTTATAGGATGCAGGGCTCATGCAGTGCTTTGATGAAAATTGATACTTGTAAACACTTATATTAAAAACAAGAAAAATGTCAAATCAGTAATGTAAACTTCTTCCTTAAGAAAACAGAAAAAGAAGAGCAAATTAAACCAAAAGCAAATATAAGCAGGAAATAACAAAGATTACAACAGAAATATATGAAATAGGGGATTAAAAACAATAGAGAAAATCGACAAAACCAAAATTGATTCTTTAAAAAGACTAACAAAATTTGCAAACCTTTCTCTAGACTGGCGAAGAGGGAAAAAATAGAGAAGACTGAAATTACTAAAATGAGAAATAAAGCAGGAGCATTATCACATTGTCATTATGGTTTTTTGTGGTGTTAAGTTCCTTTCTCTTTCTCATTTGGATTTTTGATCTACGGGTCAAGATGGATTTTGTTCTTTCTTGTGTATTCATGGTAGTAATTATTGTTTTGCAGATTCCTGATGCGGGATTTCTTGTAGGGCTAGTCATGTGGTGGTGAACTCTCACAGTTTTTGCTTGTCTGTAAAATACACTGTTTTTCTCTCATTTCTGAAGGATAGCCTTGTTGGGTTTCTTGGCTGGCAGTTTTTTTCTTTTAGTACTTTGAGCATATCATCCCATTCTCTTCTGGTCTATAGAGTTTCTGTTAAGAAGTCTGATGTTGGTCTGATAGGGGCTCCCTCACAGGTGACTTGATGCCTCTCTCTTGCTTCTTTTAAGATTCTCTTTTTGTCTTTGAGCTTTGCCAGTTTGACTATAATGTGACTTGGAGAGTATCTTTATGGGTTGAATATATTTGGGGATCCTTGAGCCTCCTGGATCTGAAGGTCCATGTCTCTCCCTATACCTGGGAAGTTTTCCATTATT